GTCATTTGATTAGGTCACCAAGAAAACAGACATCAGCGATTTTTATTTCAACCTTGGCAAAAATGTGGCTTTCGGCGCTAGGGAAGCTGATTCGGGAAGACCTGATAAGCAGCAGCCTAAGGAACAAATTTTACAGCCACCGGTACAACCCTCTCATGTGGCAACAAATCAAGAATCAGAAAAAAAGGGAAATCGTGATGAAGATGATGGTGAGAATTATTCTCCCGAGGGAAATCCCACCCGTACTTACACGCGACCCATTTCCAAATCTCCAGATCGAGAGCAAGTCACGATTAACGAGCCAGCTTCGGCTAGTAATCAGTCGATAACTGACGAGCCAAAAAATGATGCAACAGCAAAAGATCATCACAAGAGAAGTGAGGATGCAGTGGCTGCAGCAAAGGCACGGTTCTTGGCACGAAAAAAGGCGAAGGTATAAGATAGTTTCAAGCTTAATTACTTATTTTACTCGCAGAATTCTAAATTTATTGGCAAAAATAATGTTATAAATTCAGTGTTCATACACTATACAATTGACAGAGAATGAATATTACAAAAAAGTTAAAACTATATACATTACAATTTACATGTCAAAGTCTTTGATCTTTCAATCTATGCTCTATCTATAATCTATTGTGTGTATGGCTATATTAGCTTGTGTTTGCTTGGACAAGAGTTATTATTAGTTCATAGAGGTTGAAAACTGCATTTCACATTAATGTTGCACTAAATTTCAAACATGCTAGCTAAAGAAATGATTAATTATCAATATGACAAAAATAGATCACTTTTAACTTACTCCAATTGCTTGCAGCAGCTGTTAAGTAAAGTACAACTATCAGTCCCTGTTTAGAAACCAATTTGATAAAAGAAACAAAAACAAACAAGTTTAAGATAATATAAATTTTATTTATTTTTTATTTCTATTTTTCAAAAGTAAAAAAAAAAAAAATTGATATCAACTAAAATAATATACAATTAAATAATAATTGATAATTATAACTATAAAAGTGGAGTAAAAATATATTTTGTTAAAAAATATATAGTAATAATGTATTTAATCATATAAGCAAAATTAGAGTGAGATAAGTAAATAATTTCATTCATTTATGAAGCATAAACAAAATCAGAACACAGATATACGTGACAATAAACTATTTTGATTTTTCTCCGTATGTAATATTTACATACATTTACACATATATATAAGCGTAAACTCTCCCTCTTTTAGAGAGAGAAAATCGGACAAAGAGAGAGAAATCAGCTCAGAGAAAAATCCGCGAGTTAAAGAGACAAACACTCAGCGAGAGACGAGATGGAATCTTTCGACGCGTATGGCATGGACGGCGACGCGCCGGCGCGTTCGTTCGACGACGGCGGGTACACCAGCTACGACGATTCCTACGCCGCCTTCTCCTCCGCCGAGACGCCGCCGTTTTCGGCTCCAGCTTACACTCCGGAGTACGGCGAAGCCGAGGAGGTGCCAGCGGGCCACGCGAACAGCTCCGATCCGTTCGGATTCGGCTCGGACCCTCCCCAGCCGTTCGGATTGGCTGGTTCTGTCCCGATCTCGAACGGCAATGGAGGCTCGCCTTATAACCTAGGGGAAGATTCGGAAGGAATTTTCAGATCCGACGGCCCGATTCTTCCTCCTCCGAGTGAAATGAACGAGGAAGGATTAGCTCTTCGTGAATGGCGGAGGTGAGGTTTTCTTCAGCTCTGTTGATTGGTTCTTTTTTTTCTCTATATTGCCTTATCTGGATTTTGATCTCTGTAAGATGTACGTTTGATTCGAACATTTTCTGAGTATCGAGCTTGTATACCTAAAATCACTGGATATTCTTGCTGGTAAAGCTGATAAAGAGGAGGGTTTAAGGTAAAATATCCAATGTTGGATCAGTTAATTCTTGACTAGCTATTTTTAGATTTAGCTTGAATATCATTATAAAGATTCCATTATCTCTCCATAAAAATGATATCCACTTTGTGAGTCCATATTGAAAATCAATTACAAATAATTTGAAGGAAGCAGTAAAGAGAGCTTGCTTCAATTATTTGAGATGGTTTTATCTTTAATGCAAAGTCCAGTTGGAGAGATGAGATTTCCTATTCCAAAAATTATGTTCGAATTCATTTATTTTTTCCGCTTGATGAATGACGTGTCCATGATGAAGTCATGAATGTACACATGTTGATAATCCAACAGGAATTGGAACATGATTTTGAAACAGGGTCTTTTTTCCTCTCGATGGATGTGTAGCTGGGAAATCGATGGCAATAAATTATATATAAATCCAAGTTCTGGGAGAGAACAATCATCACAATGGTTATTGAAGATTGGATTTGTGTAAAAATTTGGAGAATAATTTCATATGATGAAGTAGAAAAATAGAGTTCATAGGGTTAATTCTACTTAACAAATATACTTGCATAATGTAGTTAAGAGAGCATGGGTCTGAGATTGTCATTTGGTGAATCACATTATAAATTGAGAGTGAGGGCATCTTAATATTTACTGATTGGGAACGTACAAAACTTGATATGTTTGCTGGAATATTGTATCTTTAACATTTTGCGTCATCTTGCTAAGAATAAGAAATGTGTAGGCTGTACTATGTCATGAATTACTTAATGCTTGCTTGCCTGCTCAGAGTGTGTATTCGAAACAGGATTCATTTTTTATTTTAATTTCGAGGGAAGGTGGTGCATTTTAGTTACCTGTTTTTAAAATGTCACAAGTATCTTCAAATTCACCCTACCATTTTGCCACTTAGATCACTAAAACTGGACAGGTATCATGTGTGAGGACTTGGGAGTCCATTATTATTATTATATTTAAATATACATAAATATAATTTAAAATTCAATGTGCTGTAACATTCATTTACGGCTTAAGGTGAGTTTATTCAACTGTTGCTCTCAGAATCTTTTGTTTCTCTAGTTTGGACTGCTGTCATAATATGTGAAAGTGTGTTGATCTTCAGGTTTCGAAGTTTATCCTGGTTTGAATGGAAGTGAATTGGATTGAGAATCTTTAGTCAATTAAAGAACATTGCATTTTGGTTGAAGTTTGAGGTCTAGTATTTGTATGTGCTCGTATGTATATGTCATCTATGTGTATGCATGGGGATTTTTACTCTTTAGCACGTTTATGAGTATCGAGTCGGTGGTGCATAGGTGCTAGCACCAACCCTAACACGTTTTCACTCTAACTGAGTCCGAATAACATTTTAATAAAACGAACCTTGTCTCACCTGTATTTTTTTATTTTTTTTTCAATCAGGTTGAACGCCATTCGTCTAGAGGAGAAGGAGAAGAAGGAAAAGGAAATGCGAAACCAGATCATAGAAGAAGGCGAGGAGTACAAAAAAGCTTTCTACGAGAAAAGAAAGCTCAATATAGAGACCAACAAGACCACCAATCGGGAGAGAGAAAAGGTCACTGCTTCTCAAATCCAAATTCTGTTAGGCTGTGTTTGGTAAACATATAAACTAGCTTATAGCTTATTTGATTAGCTTATAAGCTTCCTGTATTCAAATAAACTTAAACATGGTTTGGTAGAACGATTTTTCTTAAAAAGCTCGAGCTTATCTCATAAGCTTCCTTGGGTAGCTTTTGAAATAAGCGCATTAAAATTTTGAACTTCAGCTAGCTTATCAGCTAATTTTATCAAACACTTTTATCGATATAAGATATACAAGATAGTTTTTCTACCATATGTCATAAGTTATTAACTATATGTTCGAAATTCACTTATCAGCCATAAGCTAACTTATCTAGGTTTATCAAATATAGTCTTAGTTTCATTTCCCATAATCATTAGAATCTCGCAATTTTTTTTTTTTTTTTTACACGTTTAAATGTCCTGCAGCTATTCCTTGCCAGCCAAGAAAAATTCCACAAGGAGGTCGACAAGCAGTATTGGAAGGCTATAGCCGAGCTCATCCCAAATGAGGTGCCCAACATCGAGAAAAGAGGGAAAAAGAAGGACCAGGACAAAAAGCCATCGATCACAGTCATCCAAGGTCCCAAGCCCGGTAAACCAACCGATCTTTCGAGGATGCGTGGAATATTGGTGAAGCTCAAGCACAAGCCGCCGCCTCACATGGTGCCACCGCCATCTGTTCCCGCCAAAGATGAAAAAGACGGGAAAAACACGAAAAATGGTAAGGAGAATGCGGCCGATGCTGGAAAAGAAGCAGCAGCTCAACCTGTCAAAGGCTCTTCTAACGGGGTTGCTACACAAACGGCTGATGAGAAGCAAGATAGCTAAATGGATTTTTTTGATTGGGTGCTAGTATTATATTACGAGAATTTCTGTTTTGTACTTTGTATTTTTATTTTTTTTTCCTGTCTGGTATTTTTATCATGAAGATTTCTCGTTCATATGCATGCATGTTTGGTTAATAATTTGCTGGTACGAGGAATTAGGCTGATCTGTTCGTTTCTGTTCTGGGTTTTAAGACAATGGAGTTTTATATTATTTGTGCTGTGATGATTTGTTAAATGTTCTATTTGTGATTATTATTTGTTTTTGTTATTGTTTTTTGAATGGCCGACATCTTCACAACAATTCGTTTATTTAGGAGGTAATTTTTTATTATTATTATTATTTTTTGAGCAATGGATAAGGGCATTTATTTTTATTTATTTATTTAATTCTAGACATCATTATATATTAATTATTGTGTATTATTTTATTTTGAAGCTAGCCTGTTTGTTCAGAACGAGGTGTCTGGCTTTTCTCCAACCAGCTTAAAAGCTTCCAACAACCATTTTTTTTTTTTTTTCAAGAATAATATTACTAACAAGAAAAACTAAGAAAATATGTCAACTGAAACTAAAGGAATCACTGGACCTATCCTCTTGGAACATTACGTCTCAAAGGGTACAAATCCATCAAGGAGAAAAGAACACGCAAAACACAACTCCACCATGAAGGAGACTAGATGCTAGACGTCGTTAGACTTAATGAAATGAAAAACAAAAGAAGACAAAAAACGACGAACACAAAATAAACAAGAAGCGCAACACAGGTGAACCACACAACCACAACAGAGTCACACACACATCGAGCAACAAAACTAGACCCCAAACCACAAACCAAAAAAATGCAGCTACTCGAACCGCCTAGTCAAATCTAGCTCCTGGTCATTCTGCGACTCGGCCGACGGCGTTTTCAGAGAAGGATTTTCTGCTTTATTTCCCAAACAAAGAGAAGAGGGACGAGAGAAGGGTCCAACAATCAACTTAATATATAGAATTGTAGGTAATAGAAACAATGTAAAAATAAATGAATAATGTAAGAGCAAAATGTTACATTGAAACTTGAAATTTGAAGGAGGAACTAGAAATGGCTTGGTGTGAGACACATTTTAAAGCCTCGTGATATATGAGTGATTACAACAAGTAAGATTCACATAAAAATACAACCTCGCTATTAAGAATCATGCGATCACACATTGTCCACGCAAACCCGAGAAAAGAATAGCATGGAGCGGCCGACATGATGCTATAAGCTCAGCGTATACCAAATTGGAACTCAGATAAATTATAGATTCGAATCATTCTTCTTTTCCAGTGGCCTAAAAACATTACATTGAAAATTACCGAATCTCAGGCATCGAACCTCATCTTGGGTTTACCTGAGTGATGGTGGTGGGAAAAGAACTCGTTTGGTTGCTAGACGAGGTTACGGTTGATTTCATCTTTGACTGCTTGCCACCTGGTTGACCTGAATTCTGAAAAGAACCCGGGGCTGTGAGCTCCTTCTCGTTTAGCTTTACATTTCTAGACAGCATCTCAAGGACCTGACTCATCAACGGCCTCCTGCTAGCATTTGCTTGAGTGCAAAACAAAGCCACTTTCATAAATCTGATAACCTCGTCTTTTGGAAACTCCCCAAGCTCTGGGTCTACAAGATCGAGCAGTTTCCCTTCTTCGTAAAGCTCCCATGCCTATAAAGCAACCAACAGTCATCAGGAAATTAGAGCGAAACTAAACCAGTCGAGGAAAATCTACTCTTGTAATTACAGTCCAGCTTATTTACTTCTCAAATAACTCTAACCACAATCTACATAAATGTCATTTCAGTTGGTTGCTACTATTTTCAGCACCTACACTTAAAGCTTCTTCTCTAATCTTTCTCGTGTCACACAGGATTAAAGAGAAAAACCTATATTTGGATGAAAGACATGGGTATGTTCAAAACCATAAGACTAAAATGGTCTACAACTTTGTTTAACATCACGCATCATTTAATCTTAAAATACAAGTTTCTGGAGCATGAGAAACATAAATACACATACATGATACATGAAAGCCTTCACTTGTTTAACATATTTGTGGAAAATTCTCTGTATGCTTCCAATAATATGCAAACTACATGCCCCAAAAACTAGCATCTACTGTGAACGGATCCTATTGTAGATATGAGATACAAAGAAAAAATAGTGTAGAATGACTAAAGGAAAGTGGAAGATATACCCACCCATTGAACTAGTAATTTCTCGCCTCCTCCATAATCTGTATATGCACTGCTTCTGCCGCTTATGATTTCAAGGGTTAGAACCCCAAAGCTGTAGACATCAGCCTTCATTGTTAACTGCCCACCTAATGCATACTCAGGAGCCAGGTAACCTCTGCATGGGACAAACCACAGGGTAAAATTCAGAAATATATTTTTCTTTGTTCAAGTTAAAAACCAATTCTAGAACTGGAAAGGTCCTAGTGCCAGGGTAAGAGTTATCTTTTCAGTGAAATTATGCGAAACTATTTCTTTTGGTGGACAACAAACAAAGAAGATGATGAGCACATGTCCGTGAAGATGTTTATGAAAACGAAAGAAAATATGGCGTACGTTGTTCCTGCTATTTTTGTGCTAATATGGGTTATGTCATCAGGAAAGAGTTTAGCCAATCCAAAGTCTCCAATTTTAGGGTGGAAGTTCTTGTCCAGAAGAATATTACTAGCTTTAATGTCTCTATGCACAATACGAGGCACAAGTTCTTCGTGTAGATATGCAAGTCCTCTTGCGGTCCCTTTGCAAATGACAGATCTTGTTTTCCAATCCAATCCTAATGACTTCTTGGGACCTGTACAAACATAAATTATGCTCTGTCCACAGGGATCTATAAGAGTTTTTTGTTTTTTTTTGTTTTTTTATGTGCGAAATTACCTAATAGAGCATGATCAATGCTGCCATTTTCTAAATATTCATACACCAAAATCCGGTCAGGTCCGTGAACACAGCAACCAAGTAACTTAACAAGATTGGGATGTTTGACATTTGATATGGTATCTATCTCGGTCAAAAACTCGTGCACTCCCTGTTTTGACCCAGCGGAAAGCATCTTCACTGCAACTTCACTTCCATTTTTAAGAATTCCCTATACAATGTGGTGAAGTTAATCAGAAATCAATTTGAATTCTGTGAAACAGAAACGCATTAATTTACCTAAATCTAATCTCCTTTTCACTTAAGCGTACTCTTTTCCCTTCCAAGGGATTGATTTATCTTAAAAAGATTTAATGAAGACATGCTTTAGCTAGCTAATTGGCTTGCGGTCAGCATGACACTTGTTTTCTTCTTTATTTTATATAGGCTCCGTGCCATAATTTATTAGAAAAATGTTACAGAAATCTGGCCTACTACAAAACTAAAGTTCAACCTCCATCAACTTAAAATACCCTTTTGAGTGAAAATGTATCAGCTATAGAAAGATGGTCAATTTGTTACCTAACTGATGATTAAAATCAAGTCGCAGGCTACAATGGTTGGATTGGAAAAATATTAGAATTTCTTGTAACTTTTAAGGGGCAAAAGGCGCAGCCTTACAAAGAGCTATATGTTGAAAAATGAATCTTCATTTATATTTTCCTTATATTGGAATAAGAATTTATATTAAAATGTTAATAGTGAGGGGTAAGACTATTTAGTTGAGTAATACCTTGTAAACTATGCCAAAACCTCCTCGTCCTATTTTGTTAGTTCGGTTGTTGAAGTTGTTTGTAGCTGCTCTTAAATCACCATATGCAAAATTTTTTGTCTTCGTTATTGAGGGACCTGGATAGAGAAAGCATAGATGCATTTTAACTGAATGCAAAGCAAAGTATCAATATCTAGAAGTAGCTATAATATCAGAATCCTCATTGTTGTCAATTTTCAGTTCTAACCAATGAATTCTCAGAGACCTACAGTTACCAATCAGATGCCCTAGTCCACCGAGGTCTTTGTGGATGCACCCACATTGGCATGGAGCATGTTATCAGTTATAACTTATAACATTAGTTTACTTACATTACATGTGTGATAGAATTTGGTTAGGCGGAGGATACACTTCATATCATGGCATATATCCTCCATTAACTAAACATCTTTAACCAGTTTCCAACATTATGTGAAGCTTATGTCACATGCATTGTTCTCTAAATATATGAATGATCTCATATCCTTACAGGGATCTATTCTGTTCAGTGTTTATCAACTTTGCTTTATCAATATAAAGCTACGAAAGTTCTCGTCCGGACATCAATGATCATTGATACCAGAAAACAATCATGAATGGCATTGTACGCACGGTTGTTATAGGGATACAATTTCAAACTGCATTTATTTAAAGCCTTCGGGAATTTTCACCTCCCAACTCATTCATGCAACTGTAACCTCTTCATCCGACTTTAAAGTCAATAAGAGCCATGTCATTTTTTCATGAGCCATAACTCCTTGCAAACAACATAATCAGAATTGTGTATTCTATACAGCCTACCTACAGATGTCACTGAGTATGATATATACATGCATATGAAATCAAGGCATCAACATCAACTGTACATATATAGCACAACTTCACGTGATCAAATGAATCAGTGGAACATTCAAAACAAAATGAGTGAATTCATCACCTGCTTCATCTAGTCTCGGTTGATCGGCATGCTTGTCACGTGAGGAGCCAAAGCAGCTACAACTCATATCCTTGGTGCCGTTTAAAGACACGAATCTCCCAATCCAACTCACGCACTGAAACAACTATGATCATCGATTAGTAAAACCGAATTCAATACTGCAAGTGCAATCTAATTACTCTGATTTCCCCTCTTACTCAGAGTTTCTCAAACACGGGCACCCATTCTTCATTTATTCATTTATTTTTTTGCAGAAACACATTAAGATGCAAAAGCCGATAACAAAAATTCTGCAATTCACTACCCTCGCACAATTAAAATCCCAATTCCCACAGACAACAACGCGGGTTTCAGCATCGACAGAAACAAACTGAGATCCACTCACAAAGTAAAAAACCTACGATCGGTACTCACAAATTAATCGGCAAGGTAAGCGCAGGCGCCGCCGGAGAGGAACCGCCGCCGGAGAATAACAGCTGTGGAGGCGTTAGCGGCTGTGTTCTCAACTTGTGGAGTCGTCGCAGTTTTGGTAGCGAGAAGGACTCAGAAGTCATAGTTCGTGGTAGAAGATTTTTTAGCTTTTGCTTTCTCACCTGACCTTCGTTACTTCGTATGTCGCCGTGTGAATTTTTTGACAGTCCAGTGCTGTTTTCTCTTTCTTCTCCTTTTTTATTTGTATTTTATATTTTTATTTTGACAAAATTATCAAACAATGTGAAATTTATTTTATAAATTATTTTAAAATTTTTTGAGATTTGAAGTTTTTTAATATTTTGAGACTTAAAAGTATCTCAAGTATGATTTGAGATTTCGAATGAGACTTCAAATAAGTTTTTTACATGAAAATGTCATAATATTTTAAAAAGTCAAAGTAAATCTCACTTTAATTAAAAAATCAACTTAAATTAATCCAAATCAACTGTACTAAATATATTTAAATAATATTAATAGTTCATTCTGACATATCACACCAACTTTAATACACTATTTATCTATTTACATATTTTTAACTACCTATCATTTTTAATAAATTATTTCTTACTTTTTTACAGAACATCAACTTTAACCATTATATTTAAATATTATTTAAATATAAACTCAAATTCTCACTTAATCTTTCACTCAATGAACTTTTTTTTAAAATTAACCCTCTTTTAACTTATGATCCGATAAAAAATTGTTTTGATCCGTTACCAATAAAGCCCTTCTGAGTTTTAAAAGCCTTGGAAAATCCAAAATAAATAAACCAGGACTCTTATGGCGCGATTGGTGACGAATCAAAATCGGCATTGATTGAATTTTGAGTTAAACTGAGTTAATTTTAAATAAAGTTGATTGAGTGGAAGTGAAATTTTGAGTTTATATTTAATAATATTTAAAATATAATACATGAGTTTTAAAGAAAGTAAAATAGCATGTTTGCAACTAGAGTCCTAGAAAACGTAAATTAACAAAGCAAAACTAAAAAATAGAAAAATTGCTAAACACGTCCCTGCTCTCGTCCAGACCGTCGCGACGAGAAGCTTCGTCCACCTGCGGTTTTTGTTGACTCGCGATAGTCGTCACGGCATAATGACTATGTTTCTTGAACACAGCCAACATTTTTCCCTTTTCTTTTTTCTTTTTTCTTTTTTTTTTTGCGAAAAAAAAAGGCAATATTGAAGAGCAGATAGCAAAAGCTAACAAATGCGAACAAAAAATCGAAAACAAGCAAATGATTCGAATGTTGTGGGTATTCTGAGGTTGAACGTCTATACTTATATAAAAAGAATAATATTTTTTTGAAACTGGAAAGTCAAATTCTTTGTCAAACTATGTTATCATTAATTACTTTCTATTACTAGCAAATTATTTATTTATTTCCTCAAATCACGCGTGCAACATTAAATGCATTAGACATTTTTTGGTTTAGGATTCTGACAGATTTTAACTATCGCCTAAAAATTTTCAGTCAATAAAAACAATCCGATAAGTTTTTTCTGATTCACACGTTTAGTTTAAAAATATCAATTTCAGTACACATCTGAATTCAAAAGAGATACACGCTTAAACAAATATAAAAAAAAAAAAAATCGCTGAGTAATTTGTATCCTATTTTGATAGATAATTTATATCTTATTTTGATGGATAGATATAAAATAAAATAAAGAAATGATGTATAAAAAAGGGTCAATATCACACTAACAATAGATTACAAAATCATAACACAAAATCAACTGATTTAATACAATTTTTTTTTTAAAACTTGCAAAATACTGATACCTAATCTATAGAGCCAGTATAAAAAGGTAGTTTAATTAATCTAATATTTTTAAATAAATTAAAAATTCATGAATTTGTTACTTTTGAGATTTTTTTTCAAAATCTTATTATTTTTATATACACGAGGGATCTATATATATATGAAGAATAAATTTTTAAACATGTTGTTTGCGCAAATTTTTTATACATGTATATATAGATGTTAACTTTAAGTGTTTTAGATATATTTTTCTTATAAAATTGTTTAGAAAAATTTAAGTAATTTCACATTTTTTAAGAATAATATATAATATTTTAGATATTCTTATATACGTTATATAATAGTTTAGATATTCTTAATGTTATTCCGGTTTGTAATATTATTAACATATATAATATTTTAGATACTTTTAAAAATGTTAGGTGACTTCACGCATATTTCAAAAATAAGATAGAATATTTCAGGTACTATTGCACATGTGATATAAGGTTTAATTTTAGGTGACTTCACACATATTTCACATCTTTCAATAATGATATATAAAATTTTAGATACTTTTTCCTACGTTATATAATATTTTAGTCCTGTTTAATACACATTTTCGTAAATTCTTTTATATAAGATAATTTTCTGTATACGATAAATTACATCATATATTAACTCCACATCTTCAATTTATAATTATTAGTTAATATTCTTTATTCTCATCTTTAATTTATAATTATTCTTTAATATTATTTATCCGTGCATCGCACGAGATACGCTATAGTAGATTAGTAAAAATGAACACCGAACCGTGAGCTTATGATTCTGCACTAGTAATCCATTCGTGGGGAAATATTGTGAATTGTTTTGTTTTGTTGTTGTT